CTGCACAGCACCATCCTCAAGACTCACAGCCTGTGCCTGAGGGCATTGCCCAAAAGCTTCTTGAGCTCTGTCAGGCTGGTGCTGTGACCACTTCCCTGGGGAGCCTGTTCAGTGCCCAAACACCCCCTGTGTGAAAAATCTTTTCCCAATATCCAACCTAAACCTTCCCTGACACAACTTCAGGCCTGGGTTCCCTTGGGTCCTGCCACTGGTCACCACCTGCCTTTCTGAAATGAATCTGCCCAAGCACTGTGAGATACAACTATTTTGACAGATATTTCTAGTTTCGCTCCCCTCCTTCTTGCTAGAAATTCCAGAAGTTTTATAATGAAATGTTGCAACTATCCTCCAAATAATAATGCTTAAATTCTAAGGAAGGCAGATTGGCACCATAAACATCTATATTCACTTTTTCCATTTCAACTGCCATGACATTTGATGCTTACATCCACACTGTTCCTGCTAACAGGACTGTGGAAGTCTACCTCTGCACCACACATTTTCACTTGCTGCCACAAGAAGGGATATTGATCTGTGTATCTCTGCTCACACAGCAAGGCTTTCCATTTTGGAGCTGTGATATTGTCGTACTAAGAGGACAAGGAAAAGATCAATGATTTCTAACAATGATCACTTTTAAGAGGAAGAGCACTGGTAAAATGACTTACTAGTCGAAGTATCACATTGGCAGTCTCTGCAATAAGTTATATATCCTGGCAGGCATTAACTCCATTGCTTTTGATAAAAGCAGCAAGAATTACCCACTTTAGAAATGTTACTGACTATGGCATGTGATGGTATATGCTTTATATAGAGTCGGTTGCAGCCTTACAAAACTGTTTAAGAAGCGCCAGGGCCCTAGGAAGGCTGGGGCTCCACAGGGACATCCCTACAGCCCTGCTGAGAAGCAGAGCATCTGGGAGGCACCAGGGGCAACCCCATCCCATGGCATCAGGTACCTCTGTGGAGCAGTAGGGCCATGGCTGAGCAGGGCAGAGCTGTGGGGAGCTGGAGAGCATCCCTGCTGCAGCATCACTGGGTCAGAGGCTGATGGCTCTGGGGGCCCTTGAGAGGCCTTGAGAAGAAGTTGTACAAGGCATCTCAAGAAACATTTCAGTTCCTAGGAATTTGGAAGCTGGCTTACTCCATAAAGCTACTGGGATTTTTTACTTCCATCTCTGGCCCCCAGAACATACAGCAGCAACACACCTCATGGTTTATTCACCACTGTGTGAAGTAGCCAGGGACTGCATTTGCCAATTTTTCTCCAAATGGCTCTTTGTTACTTTCTGGAAAGATACAAAGAAAAGGTGCTCCCAACGAGACCTCTTCTGATACATGTAAGTTCAAACATTTTGATCAAGTCCCTTCTGAATGAATTTAATTTCTTGAACCCACTACCAAGCCCATCCTCCCAAGGAACCTTGTAAAATGCATTATCAAAATCTTCCCTGGCACAAAACATCACATTCACCCTATAACTCTCCTGCACCTCTGCACAGTCTGGGGGACTGTGGATGAAAACACACAAAAAAGCAGAAAGGACTCAGAACTACAAATCTTTTTCTGACAGCACTGGAAAATGAGACAGCCCTGAGAACAAGACCAGGAGAGAAGGAAAGATACAGAAGACTGAAGCTCACAATCAGGATCCTTCTGGCCAAGACATTTGCTGAAGGTGGTCCCTGGCCAGCCCAAAAGAGATGCATGGGAGAAGAGATCCTTTGCAGTGAGGGGCACTGAAGGCAGAAGCAGAGGTGACCTGAAGGAAAGCAGCAAGGCATGCTTGCAAGGCCTTCAGTTCACAGGATGGACAGCAGCCTCTGCTGGGTGGTGATGGACAACCTCACGTCCTGAGCAGTAAATGAAAGGGTGAGTGACTCCTTTTAAAAGGGGTAGTCAGGGGCAGAAGTGAAAATAAGCAAATGTGCATCTGCACTTGCCTCTGCAGGTTCGGTAGAGAGGTGGAAGCTCTCTGACTGCCAGACAAGTGGCTTTACTGAGGAACAGTGTCCCATTTGCAAAATTGGAGGCTATGATCCTGACCTTACTTGTAGAGCATTTTCATAACTACAGATGGAAATAACCAGCCCTAGGTGGTGATTCTGATCATGATTTATTCTGCTTTCTGACAAGAGGGGTGTACAAGCACTTTGAGATGAAATGTGTCTGCACATTTAATATTAATTTATGGAAAGTACTCATGTGCAGTCTTGACATTTGTTTTCCACATATAACAGCAACAGGAAACTCAAGCCTTTGAATGTTTATAAGAAATGAGCACACATGCAAACAATGCTGACAGAAGATGATTTTCTTTACAATCTGAATATTTTCACTTCTTTTGCATTTCTCATTTGTCCTTATTCAGCGCATTTTAACCTGCAAATGTTATCCTCGAAGGTCACAGGAAACTCAGATTGTCAGATAAAACTGAGGCACTGCAAAGATTGTACTTGGTAACTCAGACTGAAACTGATAGAGATATATGTAGAGAAATCTTACAGAGGTCCGACCATAGCGTAAAGTCTGACAAAAGAATTCTCCACTCATCAATGGGGACCCTTAACCCCATACACCATAAACTAGAAGACCCAAGTTAAAAAGGAAAAGCCATATTAATTATCAAACATGAATTGGCTCCATGGAATAGTCTCTCATATCTGTATTTCCAGACAGTCCATGGCAGCAAGGTTACACAAAACACTTCAGTCTGGCTGACACAGCCTAAAACTCAATACTGACTCCTTCACTGAACTGCCAGGACTGTCCACAAACACATGTAGAGCAGCTACAAATCTTATTTGCTCTGCAGAGCCCTTGGATAAATCCCTCCTTAGAGTAGTCCTCAGGATGACTGAGCTACAAAGCTGGTGGGTGCCAGTGACCACTCCAACACCTGCTGTCTCACTAATGATCTCAAATCCCTCATCCTCACAGGGAAGCAAGATACATCAAAAATACAGAGAGAGAAGACTCTCTCCTGAAGATGGAAATAAGCTTTTCTGAGTGTCCCATCCAGCAGTTCAGGGGAGTACTAAAGGGAAGAAAGGTGAAAATCAGACAAACAGCTTTTGTTCCTTTTTTGTAAGAACTGCTAAGCTATTTTGCATTAAAGAGATGTTCCTTTGTTAAGGGTAACTTCATGGCTATCAGATCTCTTTTAGCATACATGGATATTTGTCATCTGCTGTGTTAGACTTTGCCCAAGCTCAATCTCCTTGATATCAAGCAAGAGTGACTTGTAGGTCCTAGTCCAGGTGTTGTGCCATTTGTGTGCTTTGCATTCTGGGCACAGAAACAGAGGAACTGAATCTTGAGGCTCTTTGTTTTCTCATCAGTTGTTTTAATGAAGCAGAATAATTCCATTACTTTATACAGAGGGAGCAGGCAGTCTATCTTGTCCTTCTGAGGTCTGTTTGCTGGTTCATAATTTGCAGTGGTGATCTTGAAAAACTGGCACAGTTTACAACCAGGCACTCTTCAGAAAGGAGATATATCATTGAGAATTACTTGCTTATCAGGTCACTCTCCCCATCATCCAGTGCAAAAGGCCTGCAAGGTAATTTTCATTCCACCTGGTGTCCTAAATCCATGTCACTCTGATGTTTGCAGTAAAAGAGTTCATTCATTTTATTTGCATCCTTGAAACTCCAGCCACACTGTGGTACCCAGTGACCCTGGTTGCCTTGGTTGCAGAGGGATGGCAGGGGCACGTCAGGATCTTGTGCCAGCAGAAGAAGCAGCAATAGAATGAAAAAGGGAGGAGGATGCTGTACTACACAAGACATCCAGGAAAGATGTTATGCAGGTTACTAGAAACATCCTGCAAGAGAAGCAGACTTCCAGGTATTTTTTCAGAGATTGGCAGTGTCTGAAACATCACAGGATGATGATGTTATGACTACTTTAGTACTTCAGCATTTCCACTAGGAAACAGCTCACAGGGTGCTTACACTGAAAAGCAGTAAACAAGTTTACTTCTGGCTGGAAGTTAGAATTGCACAGCAGCAATTGTCCACAGGAGAGATCCAAGCACCAAGCACAAGCATGCACTGGCAGCATTCAAAACACATGAGCAACTGTGGCTCACCCCTTAATACAGGCTTTCAACTGGATCAGTGAAGACTCAGTTCAGAGAAGTGATGGGATAACACACATCCTGACAAGTTTGGCAGCCACCAGACTTCTTTAAGCATATTGATGCACCCTGATCTTGATCTCTCTCTCCTGCCCCATGCTGCACAGGCACATCCTTTGCTCCTTACAGTCTGTGTTAATGGATCATCAAAGATTTTTCTCTCTGGTGTACTGCTTTGAGACACCTTTGCAGCAAATTACATGGCATCAGTCAGCAAGAGACAAAGGTCACACATCCAGCTGTGAAGTGGGCTAGTAACATCATACTGCGTGGTTCCTAAAACTGGCTGCAATAATGGGGATAATGTAAAGAACTGACATAACAGCAATCTGACGATTTAGTGTTGCTATGCAACTTGAGTTGGGAACACACTTTTGCAGTTGCTTCTTAGTTGTCCATTGAATGCTCACTGACAGTGTCTGGCAACCTTTCCCACTCATCACTTTACCTAAAGCAGCAAGAATTCACATGCAGCTTTTGTGCTCAGGTGCCCTCTTCAAGCCACTAGTGTAAGCAAACTGAGATGCAGACACTTGCAATGCTTTTTCCAACCTGAATGAGGTTCCTGTTGTGCTACACACACATATAAATGGCTACATGCCTTCACACATATTTCTCTTTCCTCTGATTCATTGCAAATCTTCCCCTTTTTCCTCCTTTCTCACCTTAAGGTCATCATGAAGATGACTTTCTTGTCAAAGAAGAGCACTGTCTTTGGAAGCTTTTCCTGGCCATATCACAGCTATTATCACACCAGTTCACACTATTTTATAACTTCGTACATGTGATTCCTTCAGACCTTTCCATCTTTCTCCCAGCTGTTTTTCAGACTCATACAAAGTGGTAACAGATACAGTACTTGCTCCATCTTGTTTTATTCAACTGCCCTCAAAGTGCAGTCTTGAAACTTGAAACTGACCAGTTCTAAAACCCTCAGGCAATGATGCCTTCAGCCCTTTCCTTGGGACTCTGAAAGACTGACAAAACTCAGTGGTTAAGGAAGCTGACCTGCTCATCTCCCTTACTGAAACCTGACTGCACCTAGTGACTCTGCCACCCTCAAAAACTTGCCCTTGCATGCTGGTACCACCTGAACACCAAGGTGATGGCTATTCTGCATCATGAATAATTCATTCCCTATGATCCTTTATTATCACTTCCCAGACCTCTGTCAATTTGTTGCTTTTCTGTGAATTCCTGTGCTTTCCACAATCTGTTTTGTGGTGTTGCTTGTGTGATGCTTAATAGCCGCAGCTCGGAGTTGGCTGCATTTCAGCGGTGGGAGGGGGAACACAGGGAACTGTGAACTGAAACTCTGTATAATGTTGCTAGAGATGAGAACAAGTAAGGGAGTGTTTGCTATGCACGCTATCTCCAGAAAAACATCTTTGCAAATGTGTATCTGTGCAGGCATTGTGGAGATAGGGATTACGTTATGCAGAGGGGAAGAGGAGCTGACTGACAGTAGAGATTTGCAGTCCATATTGATGTTTCACAATTGTGCATCTGTCTGCAGAACAGCCACGAAGCTCTCGAAGTCAGTGCACTAAAAAAAAAAAAATAAGGAAAGATAAATCAATAATTTCACTCACCCTTTTACCACAGCTTTATCACAGAGGGTGAAGGAGGAGTGTGTCATAACAGCTCATACTAGTGCGAAAATTTTAATCGAAACAGTCTTCAACAAGAATATACCACTTTGATAAAATCAACATTTTCCAAAAAATTCTAAGTACAAATGAAAAATCCCTATGTAAAAAGAGGCTGAAACAAAAATTTCAATATTGAAAAGTTTGCCTTAAGGAAAAAAATGACAGATTTTCTTTCAAATTAAAGTATTTTTGAAAGCAACCTTTTATTTTTTAAACACATTTTTCTGCTTATATTGTTTTTATGTTCTTCAGTTAATAATGAGAGACATTGATGTGTTCAATATCCTGCCATTAGTCTGGAATCAGGTTTCCAGGATATTAAAAACAATTGGTCCCTAACTAGTACCCAGAACATTTCTATTTCAGAGTGCAAAAATTTAAATTGTTTCATTCAGACTAATAAAGCTGCTATTGCCTTTGATAGAAAACTCATTACTTCATAGAAAAATCACTTGTTTTGAATATAAAATATCACCTGTACTAAATTATATAACAATATTTAATTATTATATTCATGGTATGTTATATTACTGGTAGGATTGCATAACGTGGCCTCATACGAGACTTGACTTGGCATAACCTAACTCTGCATTTCAACTGATATGTGAAATGATACCAAAACTTCACTCATTTTTAAAATAAAACATCAGTTCTTTTTCTAAAAGTATCTAATTAAAATGTTCATAATTTTTAGTTTCTAGGAATACACTGAAAACAGTATTTTTATCACTAAAAGGAACAAGATGCCTTGAAATCATAAACTTTGACATTTCTCTCAAACGAACATTTCAAGTTTCCTCTGGCTCTCACTTAACCTGTGATTCATTCTTTGTACTAAATCTAAATCTCCCTATTTGGAATAGTTTTCAGATTGGAGGCCTTGTCAAAAGCAATCATCATAAATTCAGCATGCACTTTATCGTAGCTGATTCTACCAGCATTTGTTGCAAGATAAAGCAGCTCATCGGTACTCACTTTCATCCCAATATTAATTCTTTTCTATGCACTCACGGGGATCTCAAAATTATCCCCATCAGAATATATAAATGAGGATAAAAATAAATCAGGATAAATTACATCAATCTTGCCACCCAACCACACCCAAGAACACAGAGGATTTCACGGCTCCCACCACAGCCCTGCTCACAAGATCCTGTTGCAGGGAGGACCCGGGATGGGACTGACACTTCTCCTCCATTCCTCTGCTCACCCCATGGCGCATCAGAAGAGCCTGGACTTCCCTTTCTAGCATGTGAAGGCAAGAAGAAAAGAAAAAGCTCTCCTTTCTGAAAGCACAAGTCCTCTCCTTCCTGCCGTCGGCAGCTGCAGTGGAACTGCAACCCAAGGCTTCCACCTAGTGTCTGCCGGCCAGCCCGGCACAGCAGCCCGCCGCAAGGCTGGGGCCAGGCTGCCCCGAGCCCGCTTTGCCAAGAGCAAAGCCTTGGCTCATTTCTGACGTGGGAATGTTTTCCTTACAATACAAAACCAAGCCTCGGCTCATTATGGACCGCCCAAGCTGTCACCTAGAACTAACCAGCTTCTGGTTTACATGTGGAAAATAAGATTTTTATTTATTTATTTATTTATTTCCCCATCATACAGACAGTGCTAAAATCCAAGGCTTTAGGTGGATGCAACAGAAAAGAGGAGAAGACAAGCTTGTTGAATTAGGTAGGACCGCTCTCATATGCCCAAGGATATTTTCTTAACCTTTCTCTGGTGCTAACTTGCCTTTGTGGTAAGCCCACAAGAAAACTGAGTGACCTTCTAACATTTCAATTCTACTAATTAAGAGATACTTAAAAATTAGGCATGGCCTTTAGAATTGATATGTGATAGACAGGCACATTTCTTCCTCTTGTATTTGACTCCTTCCTCCACCTTCATTTCACACCAAGGTGTTCGCTATTCTGCATCATGAGTAACTCATTCCCTGTGACCCTTTTTTTTTCACTTCCCAGACAACCTTTGCAGACTTGGTGGGACTTTAATCAGAACAAAGAATGAAGGACCTTATCAACAATTGTTTCTGCCTATCTCTTTCTTCATCCTATGAAAAGACAGTGTGTTTGCTGTTGATTTCCTTAAGGGCATCTAAAGCAGTACAATATTTTTAGCTGTCAAAGCAGCACCCTTTGCATGTTGTCACCCTCATACACTTATAGAGTGACCTGATACTAAAGTGTCTTCTACTTTCTCTGGTAAGTCCAGCTTTTAAAAATTTCTAGTGCTGGTGTTTCCAAGACCAAAGGCAGTTTTAAAATGCTTCTCTTGATCTCTCTGCTTCAGCTTCCTTGGAGCAAGGATCCTTGTGCTTTGGTTTATGTAAGCTAGAGGCTGTGTTCTCCCTCCAACACCTGCTATTAGTCATTTGGGCAAGTGGGTGTGTATATGTAGATCCATACATACACCCATTCACAAGAAAACGCTGTTAAGAGAAGCTCAGAGCTTACAACGGGGCTCCAGAGCTTTTTAGAATACATAGTCACACTTGGAAACTGGAGTCACTGAAAGACATAAAAACTCACCAAACCATGAAACCTGATCCAGCATTACAGTATCCCACTGCTCTGACCTACAAAAGCCCATATTCCTTCAGCTTCCCAGCTGTCTACTCTTTTTATCATGTGCATGAAATTCGGGGTGTTTTCTGTGTGGTTAGAAGACCATTTTAGCTGAATCAGTCTGTGTGCAATGTAAAGGTAAACAGGAAAGGAGAAGCCGCTGATGGAAGAAATGGTTGGAGCTGATGCAGACACATTACCCCTTGGGGATGATGAAGGACTGTGCAACACAGACACAATATGCTGCCACACAAGACCAGCAGACTCTTCTGTGGGAGCTCCACCACAGTATTGGTAGGAGCTATAGGGTGAATACAGAGAGTATATTTCATTGACGTCACTAGCCAGCATTACTTAGAACAGGGCTAAGCACAATTGCAAAAAGAACTGCCTCCAAGCTATTCTATTTATATTCCTACCAGAGCTACCATTGGTACAGTCATCCTGCTGCTGAAATCCTGACCCTGTCGTTACCAGTGTAGCCACAGACCAGAGGAGATCATTTTGGATCTTTTCAGAATTTGGCATGTCTTCATACCAGCAAAAGCAGCATTGGCAGGGGGTGGAGTGTGCTATTTGCACAGGACCTGCGTCAGGATTGGCATTCAGTGAATAGCAAGACATATGAAGGCATTTTATCCCAATATAGAGAATAACGCATCTTCCTCTGCGTTGCTGGTGGTAACTTTGGCAGTCCAAGGAACAATGGTAATTGCTTGTTACTGTGGAAACAAGACCTCCAGAAATAACACTAATGAGCCAGCAGGGTCGTGGGAGAAACACAAGCATACTGTCTCCTGCAAACATACATGATTTGGCTGCACAGAGGAGATGGAGCTCTGGGGAAAGGAGCAATTTATTTGAATGCAACAGGCACCCAGCACAACCTCCATTCATCCCCCAAGCCATCTCAGCCTGCAAACAATTTAAGTTAGTTGAAAAAAAATGTTCAGATAATTTTGGAAATCATTGCTTTTCACCTTCCTCCCTGCCCTAAATTTTGGGGAAGTTGACTGGGAGATCCTCCCTCCTTTGGAGGGAGCCATTTTGTGCAATACACCTGATAGGAAGATGTCTCCAAAGATCTCTCAATGAAAAACACGTTCTTACAAATTTACCTACCCAATTCTGCAGATGCAAGGGGCATCAGTAATCTGGGAGATGGGTCTATAAGCATCTGAATGGCAAGGTCCTTCTCCTAATAACCATCTGTTCATGATCCACCACTCCAACTTAAACAAGACAAAAGGAGGAGTGTGCACAGCAGAAGAGGGGAAAGAAGGTAGGAGACACCATGAGCTTACTGCAGCCTCAGCATGTGCCTTTCTCCACTTTCATGCTGTGTTGGTCTTGACAAAGAGAGAATAAGACAGTGCAAAGGAAGGGAGATGGTGGATGGTAACCTCTGAACACAGATATTTTTGGTGTTCCATATTCTTTTGCCTTATAAAATCCCCAAAATGATGCTTTCTGCCCCAGTCCCTACTGGGATGGCAGTGTGGCTGCATATTAATAGTCAGCTCAGCCTCGTGTGCTAGATGCCAGGAAGTGGACCTAGTGCTCAAACTGCCCTGAAGGATTCTTCCTTCTGCCTGCCAGTGGCTCCAAGGCTGTTAAACTTGATCTTCCTACTTAAAGGTGGCATACTTCAGATTAGCAGGTGGCCTCAAAGGGGCAAAGATAGGCACAGAAGTCAGAGCTAGCCTGGGCCAGACAACACTTTCAAATACATCCTGCCTTTACATGAAGGAATGTTTTTGATTGCTCCACCCTATAGGGGAAAGATAAGAAGATGTAAACATCAGTCACAGGGAGAAGAAAGGCACACTCAGATGACAGGGTCTTTTCTACTGGTGGCTCCTGTGGCAGGCCAGGAGCTTTTCAAAAAGCAAATAAACAGGAAAGGTCACCACTTTGCTTGTTATTGCACTCCCTTGAATAATTTTTACTCACTGTTTTTTTTGTTCTCTACCAAGAAGCCTCAGATAAAATCAAGGCCCTACTGCACAGATTAGGAACATCCCTGACACCAGCTCCTGCCATACTGTATGCCCACACAACAAGCACAAGGAGAAGATGAAAGAGGGTGCTGTCTACAGACAAGGACCTAAGGCACAAAGACATGGAATGACTCAGCCATGGTTATGTCAAGAGTTAGTGGAAGTCAGTAGTTCACTAATAGCAACTTTAGTCTTTGTCCAGAGCTTTTGCACAGCCTTTGTCCAGAGCTTTAATCACAAATTCCTCCATTTTCCTACAACCCAAAAATAGAACATGGGCAAGCAGTGTGAAGAAGTTTGACATATAAATGGGAAATAAAAGTCAGAAGTTAAATGATCAAGATGTTGACGTGTCCTTCAAATATTATTGCATTGACACAATATTGTGAGCAAGGGTTCTCCACAGCTTTAATAATTTTAATTTCAGAAATCTTAATCACGTTTGTGTGAAGGGGTTTTGACTCCTCAGAATAAATAAAAGCAAATTAACAGTATGCTCTCCACTGCTGAGGTGCTGGGCCCCCATCCAGGATTTCTGCTTTTTCCCAGCAACAGTGGGTGACACTGCAGGTATTGGAGCAGAACATGGTCCAGCAACACCTGGAGAGCCAAACCGGTTTGGAGCTGCAGTCAGAGAGCAATGGAGACAGTTAAATAAGGGAGGAAATTGCCCCAAACACTGCTCCTTTCAAAAAAAGAAAGAGTTTAAATTCAATACAGCCTTTCTCTGATCTGGTTACATGAGCAGTGTCCAGTGTGTAAGAACCTCACAGATGTTAAAGAAAGATAGGAGAAATTAAACTCAGTTTGGGTAACAATTTCTGAGGTTGTAGCTGCATATTTGCCTAGAGCATCCCACCCCTCCAAACACAGAATGTTACCATGGTGACAAATTTCAGCTGTAGGTAAGGAACTGTTTCTGTATGAGAGCCATTTTGTAGAAATATAAAACCTAAAGATTAAACCCCATTGCACCATTTATAATCTTTGTTGCCACATATTCACAACTAGATGAGCTTTCTTGTCTCAAGAACAGTTAACCAAAATGCAAATAAAGCTGCTTTGTTTTAATTCATGTGTTCTGCTAATGGAGCTCATCTCAGTACAGTAAAATAACACTCTCAAATTCAGCAAAAAATGTAGATATTCATTTGCTTCCAAATTGTGTCTAAGGGAGTTATTAATACTTTTGATTCTCAGAAGACAGATCTATTCCATTGCTTGACTGTGAATTACAAGAAAATTGCCTTAAATCATGCTTGGATCCAATTCATAGCACCTTAAGCACAGCAAGTCCCCAGTGCAGCCTGCATCACGCAAGCACGGCAGGGAGCCAAGCACAGCTCGTATTGTAGATTTCCTCCCAGTAACTTAGGAGAAGGTTACAGCCCAATGATCACATGTTAAACCAGGTCTAAATCATACATCAGCTTATGAAAGCCATCACAGTAAACTCCCTCTCTTCCCATTCTAATATTCCTAAGTAACTGGCATGTTCTAAGGTGCCATTTCATCAGCTGTCCCAGACTGAGCAGTTCTGCTCCTGCTGCTTTAATTTTTCTGTGTCTGAGCACAGACACAGAGAGGCACAGAGCCTTGGACCACCATCACCTGGGAGCCAGGGGCAGAGTGCCAGCTGCTAGAAGCTCCTGTAAGATTACTGACCTTAACACTGCTAAAGCTTTGTGGCATTCAATGATGCCTTTCTCTGCAAACTCTTCC